TGTTTGAAATTAGGGATGTTGCTCACAAGCCCTTTTCTATTTCACTGCAATCCAGCTCTACCTGGACTGCCCAGTTAATGCTGTTTGCTCGTCTCTCAGACATTACTCATTTACTTCTGGACGAGATGCAGTCTCACTGCACAGAATCAAAAAAAAAAAAAGTTAATGGTGCAAGTCCAAGTGGAGCCAGGGCAGTCTCCAGTAACTGAACCAGCACGGCAGATGGAGCGTTCTCTAACTCCATTCCCAGCACGGAGCTTGGTATGTAGTGGCCAAGACAGACATTTGTGTCTAGTAATACCATCTGTGTCTGCAAAATCACAATTGCTTTCACTAGAGTGTTTTCTGGGTGCTGGGAACAGACTAATGCTGCGTACAGCATGCCTCAAGCTCCTGGCATTACGTGCACACTGCGCACTCAAGGCAAGAGGAACAGTGACAAGTCCGCTTTCTGGCTACAAGTCAGGGGACACAAGCACAGGCGTTCTTGCTGAAATGAATGAGCAGCATTACCCGAGTAATAACAATGATGCTGAGCCCAAGCATCACCCACAACGTGCTCAAGCTTGTACAGAAGCACTCACAGCAGGGGCTAGGGCTGAATTTCCCAAAGATGGAAAAGGGTAACCAGCATCTTATGTTTAGAAAGCGCGCTACACGTGTTTATTGTTAGTTCATTGGACCATTCGGTCTGCCCAAACTGCCACGGTCCCTGTTCAGGCCCTCCCTATCTTGCTCCTTTGGTCCACTCCTCTCTGGCCTGTATGCCAGCCACCCTCCCACATTAAGCTAATTCAAAAAGCTGTTGCTAGGATCAATTGGTTAATTCTTCACGCTGACCACAGCAGCTTAGGCTTCCTGACCCTCCACTGGCTCCTCCTCCTGCACCGTATTAAAGCCAAACTCTTTGTCCTTGCCTTTGAAGTCTCTACCATTTAGCTCCTCTCTGTTCCCCACATCTGTTAGCACAAGGAGGGGGGCAACCTTTTTGGCAGGAGCACCACAAAGTAGCTCCACACCCTTTCTGAGTGCCACTCTGATCTCCTTCCCCTGCCCAATCTGTTACTTTGCTTTCTGCTTCCAGCCCTGTGCTCCCTGCCTGATCTGCTGTTCTGCTTTCTGCTTCCTGGCCTATCTGTCCCTGTGCTGCCTGTCTCCTCCTTGATCTCCCAAGTAACACACCCAGAGGCCTGTGCCACTTGTCCTTCTAGCCCCTCCTGCGTTTGTCTGCTTGCTGCGTCCCGTCTGGCGCACAGACTGCAGGCTTCATCTGCTAGGAACTATCTTCTTCCATTCTCATCTACAACCCCCTACAAGAAGTAAGAGGGCCATGAGCCGTATTGTGACTCCCATGTCCTAAATAAAGGAAAGGGCATGACAGGCAATGGTTAAAGTAGGAAATGGGGGAGCAGGTTGCTTAGGTCAGCCAGTCAGTGACTGTCTGACCTTCAGCAACTCACTCAGACCAGCATTTCAAACCGAGACAATTCAATCCATCTCTAGACACCTTACCAAGAAGCTTCATTTTTCAGAAGTGCCTCAGCTTTGGTTGATGAGGGTCCTGACCACATCACTGGATTGGGCTGGGAGACAAGGCAGGAGAAAGAATCTCTTTCATCCCTGCGGCTTTCACTTTTTCAAGTACTTGGTTAGAAAAGCAGCAACATTAAATATTGCATGTCATTTTTTGACTGTACACTCCTATTGTACATTCATTACCATCTGGTACCTCAGAACAAACTGGCCTTCACTCTGAAACCATAGTAGTTACTGTGAGAAACTGAACATATTCTGGTAGAGGCCAGCGCAGGAGAACACAGTGCAGTGAAACTCCACTGGTGGTGAAATAAAGCAAAAGTCAGTGATGGTAAGAACAGCTGAGGTATAGAAACAGGTGATTAGCAAAATGTTTTGTACTTCTAAACAAGTTAAGAGCAAAAAGAAAAAACTGAGACTGTTTAGAAAAGAGATAAGCGAGCATATGAAAGACATGCACAACACTGATGACTAGTTTAAGGAAGGCAGGATGATAAAGTGCTCATGTTTACCATATCTGATAATACCAGAGCAAGGTAATACTTTTCTTACCAAAATATACCATTACTAACCAGTAGAACTCATTACCACTAGGCATCATTGAAGTCAAGAGATCAGGGGTGTTAGTTATTAAGAGATCAGCATGATCCAACACCACATCTGAAATTTATATATGTCTAATGCAGTTCTTCACAATGATATTCTATAGGGTAACAATACAAGGGATCTAAACACTCAGGTTTCAGGGTTAGACCAACCTCTTTCCAATCCTGATCAGTTGGGAACTTCCTTTATAAGCAATTTACTTTAACAGGACCTGATGCAAAGCCTTTTTAAATCAACAAGAAGACTCCTGCTATCTTCAACGAGCTTTGGATCAGATCCAACTGAATTCTAGCAATGAAGGATATGATATGGGACCAGTGACTGAAACAGGGTCGACTGGGCTGGACTGGTCAGTGTCCTGATCCCCCATGAGAATGCCTACCTCCCAATGAAAATCCTGATGACTTTCTATTCTGAATGTAATTTATGGCAAAAAAAATATTAAGCATTTTCCAAAAGCAAACAATCTCCCTGACTTGATACAGAACCCATATGCAACGTTCTTATATTTCTGGCAGCAGAAAGCACTCATAACATAAGCTATTACTTTGTCGTCAGCACAACAACAAAAATAAAATAACTCTTAACAGAATTTAAATGGTAAATCAATCAAATAACTTCAAAACCAAATAGCTCCTGAAAATAAGACTCCAAGTTCATAGGTATTTACTGATGAGAGTCTCTCTGGCTATTTCTGCCATCAGAAATAACCACAAGAGTTTGGATGGAGAGGTTTCATTACCCTCCTCTGGATGGAAATGTATAGGTCCCTAGCCAAGAGGAAAATGTCAGTGAAAATTGCACATGGGTAAGACAAAATCAATTTACCACCAAACGCCAATTATATCTGAGCAATATTAAATGAAGTTTAGTAACCCTAAGATGCCTGACGTTTTTCAGGATATCAGCAAATGAACGTATGCAAGATATGAGTATCTGTGTAAATAGTAACTACATATCTGTGTTACTGTAATAAAGGGCATTTACAGAATATCTCCTATCTCCCAAATCCTTGACAAATATTATGTATGCCTCAAAACATCCCTCATATTCCTCATCCCTTTTAACATAGGTGAATGCTACTTTCCTCATTATATAGATGGGGATACAGAGAATAAAGGCAAAGACAGATTTTCAGAGCAAACTATGGGATTCAGAAACCTATTCAATATGATTTAATGAAAGACAGGTGTCTTAAATCCTCTGTACCAGGGATTGGCAACCTACAGCCAACCATGGCCTACAGAGGCCCATGGACATGGGGCTCAGCAGCAGTTGCTTTCCTGAGTGGCCGTGGGGACAAGCACTAAGTGTGGGCACATGCCACATGCCACAAGGGGTAGCAGTGGCTGGGTCCCAAAGCCCAACCCCCTACCTATGCGTCTCTGACCCAAACTGGGTCAATCCAGCTGACTGTCTTAAAAGGTTACTGACCACTGCCCTACACATTTCCCCAAAATCTGAACCAAAGGCTTCAAAAGATGAATGCTCAAAGTCAAGGATCTTAATATAGCAGGTGTGAGCTACCTGTGCTTAACACCTGTGGAATTTGGGACTTGATTGCTTAGATGCCTAAATGAGCTTTTAGGCACCGCAGCTTGGGAATCTGACCCTGAAATCTGCAAAAAGCAGATGTTTAACCATGAGATGTTTATCCATGTTTAACCACGAGAGCATGTCTATGAAACAGACACTGTCACTACAAAGCCCACTTCCAGTATTTATAGCTTTCCCTCACTGCAACTGTTTCAACTACTAACACCACCCCAATTTTTCAGCTGTGCTATAGCCTATGAAATTTGCTATGTTCACCTTCAGATCTCGAACCCTTGTTTTCTCCCATTACATAAAAACACCCTAAAGCAACACATCTAAACTGATGAAAGCTACCAAATATCTCTGAATGAAGTCTTAATTTCAGTTACTCATCAAGGATTTTCTTAATTTCTTACCACCTTGCTACTTATAAAACTCCTCACCCCTTCTCCTTTCTAATCCAGTGAAACTGTACTGTCTGCCAGGATGCCAGGAAGCAAAGCCATACATTTATGCAGAAACAGACACATGACACAGAGGTAATGCAAGTGCTGACTGATTATACTACCTCTCAAATATGCCTCAACTAGGTCTTCTAAAATTCAGTCTCTGCAGCTTATTCAGTCCTTGGTCCCCCATTTCAGAACAGCAGTAAGGAAGCTAACTGGCATTAACTGTAGTAGTAGAGTTGTCAAAGAGAACTAAATTGGACTGAGATGCTCAAGCCCATTTAATCAAACAGCCCTCTGTTAGTACCAAGTTTGGCCATTAACAACCTGGGATGGCTTTGCCCCATCAGCCAGTACGTGGACATTTTAACTCTTCCCCTTGACATATTTGCTGTCCTAAGAAACTATTAACTGGGGCAGCCTTTTTATTAACTATTAACTGGGGCAGCCATTTCCAGGACAGCAGAGATGGCCACTCAAATCTAAAATCTTAGCAAATCTTCAAGGGGTGTTTTTTGTTTTTAAAGATTAAGTGTCCGCATTTAGTGAATCCCAAACTTTACACGGAGTATTTGTTCTAGCATTTTAGAATGAAAGACAGAACGTGACCCCGGTTGAAAAGAGCCCAATGACAAGCCTTACAAACATGAAAGATCCATTACAAAGTTCTCAGATGCAAAATCGATCTCCTTAAAAGCTGGAGAAGTCCACTGGTATTACACAGCTCAAGCAGGTCAACCAAGCCAGCCCCCATCCCTGCTTGCTGAGAAAAAAAAAATCAATATTGCTTCTGCTACCAACATCTGAGGCTCAAACAGGAATTAAATGGGGAGGGCAGGAAAAGAGCTTTATCAAAACCTTAAACAAACTTACTTTTTCACTTTAGGGTATTTCATCTCCGAAATGGCATTGGTAGCATCTGTCTGTCTCTCCTTCAAATGTTGCGGCCACATGTTATCCACCCAGTCGACTAAATCCACCTAAAATCCCCACCAGAACCAACTGTTAGTCAATAAACAAGTGATGAGAGATAAACCCAACAGTCAGAGCTGGAACAGTGGTTGGCAAATCAATGGCAGCCTGGCAGCTTGCACATGCTCAGAGATGGTGGTGATTCCCTTCATATTAGTGTCTCCGTTCTGGCTGTTTGAACAGGAAACACTGTGAAACCTGTGCTGAGCACTCCAACCCTTAGCCCTTCAAACACAGGAGGGATCTGCCACTGAGTCCACTGGGCACCAATTCTGACCCTAGAGCACTCATGGGCACTAAGTGCCTTGCAAGCCTGGGCCGCTTGTGCTGTGGGATCTCAATAACATCTGCGTTTAACTATAGACATGGAGACTGTACCCTACAAACTATGTTCATGCACATTCAAAAACCCAATTTAGAAAGACACTGTATATTTTCGAGGAACATTAACCCTGGTATTCTGGCCAAATGCCAATCTGAGTAATTACATTACTGCCTACCTAATATTTCCTCCAGTTTCACTTGGACACAGAATTCTTCAGAGTTTCTGTCTTAAAGCCAAAGTGTGGGCAGGTGCAAAGAGTGGGAGCAGAGTAATTAAAAAAGGGAGAGAGATCCCACATAAGTGGGAAAAGAGGGAAACTGGTGATGGCTCAGCACCCTACTAGTGCAGCTCTTGCCTTGAAGGTTTCAGTATGAAATCCCATTCCGCGGCAGTCAGAGAAAGGATGAGTCCATGGCTCCTTTTCTGCTGAGCATCATGCAAGGGGTCCATTATTATTTGGCATCAGGTTATATTTTCACATTAATATTTAAGAGAAAATTCCAAATCACTAGACACTATTTTAACCCCACCACAAAGAGATCCCTTACCACATTGGGGCGCTTGACAATGTTCTCCAACTTGGTGTGACTGAACTCCAGACTGATGACGTTGTAAAGCTTCTCACGCTGGGCCTCTGGTGTTTCATAATACCTCACGAACTGGGACATGCTCATCTCAACCCCTCTCTGTGTGTTCACATCCATTACATCCACAATCCGACGGCTTCCTGCAAACACACACGACACTCTTAAAACATTCTCTTTAGCTTTATTGTATTCATTCATTAACTCCTGGGTAGCCACAGTTTGCAGCTTCTGGAAAACCCCAGTAAAACTGGCCCTGGAGGAGAAGAATTCAATTCCACCCCAAGCCCAGCTCTTGAATGCTGTAGGGCACAAGGTAAAGCAGAGAAGAGGAAAGATTTCTCAGTGATTAGGGGACTAGACTGCAATCTGGTTGTAGTCCTGACTCTGACACTGACTTACAGTATGATATTGGGCAACTCACTCAGTCTCTCTGTCCTTCAGGTCTCCATCTGCAAAATGGGGACAACAGCATTTCTCTACTACACAGGGGGATTGTAAGGAGAAACACATTAAAGGTCATGAGGCGCTTAAATGCCATATTACAGTGCAGGCCATGTAAGACATACTGGCAGTTCTCCAAGCTATACTCTGCAATTTCCCAACCATCCATATGCCTCTCAAGATGCTCCTGCTCCTGCATAAAGATTGTCTGCATGGGCTGATGCTGTCAGGTGCTGAGCACCCCTTTTTGGGGGGCGCTGAGTGCTCTCAAATCCTACTGCCCTCTGGCAGATTTGAAGGCACTATGCGCCTCGGAGGATTGAGCCCAGTATTTGGATCTCTGAACACAAACTGAGGGACATATTTCAGCTCCTCACATGGCGCGCACACAACTCTCATTAGCACCAGAATGTTGAACAGCGGTTTCAGCCAAGCTTTCAATTTTATACAGATTAATCTACAGCCTTCTCTTTGGCCAACTGGAAGGTTTCACCTCTCTCAGCAATTTCATCACTCTAATTAGCAGTTCATTTGTGTACGAGTGAAAAAGAACCCATGAGAGGCATGCCTCATTTCCAGGATAGAAGGATTCCAACAAACTCACCCCCTCCCAAAAAATCCCTCCAATACAATTTCCGTATCTGAAGTTATCATTCTAAATAAACTGCATTAAAATGAAATGGAAGGTCTGTGTATGTCATCGCAGGGACTTAATAATTATAGCACCTGGTCCACTGTGTGCTTCGGAGCAGTATTTCAGTAAGAATGATCACTTGGGTTGCATGACTCTATTAAAACCATCCTTTGCCACTGATACCAGTGACAGTGACAGACGTGATAATGATTCTGGAAAGGAACTCAACACCATAAAGCTTCATAATCAAACAGACAAATTTATAGCATGTAAATCTGGGCCAGTCTCTGTGGCCCTGCAGTTGGTATTCTTCACTAGCAAGGGAGTGACCACAGTGCAGTTCTGCAATCTGGTCTCAGGAATCCATCTAGCATTGCCACCTTTGGGGGCAGAATGGCATTAGGGACATATAATCACAACTCTGTAATAAAGCATGCATTTTAAGTGATAGGTATGCATATTTTAAATAATTTGCATATAAGACAACCTTATTTTCTTCAAAATGTTACATGTAGCTTTAGTAAGGCGGAAGGCACTGGTTTAGTACAAGGCTGGGTATGAAGATTTGTGGGTTCCAGCACTGGTGCTGGGAAGGACGCACAGTCTAGTAGTTAAAGCAGAGATTACCAACAAGACAGCCAAGCACTCAAATGCAGCAGAAGATTTTTGAGACTTGTATCTACCATATTACAAGTCAAAAATCCACCTGAACCTAGATGCCCATCAGGCTATTATGACAGAGGCATGACAGGTCCTGTAGCCTCTTCACTATCCACTAGTGCCATCAGGCTCCCTGTCCACCCTCCACTTTGTTTGGGCTTCACATCAATTCCTTCCCATTCTTTCCAAGAACACCCTGGTTCCCAACTGATAGGACCTATCCCTGGGAAAGGCACCTGAAAGCAGCAGTAAGACGAAACAGCTAGATCTCCTTTTCTGCCTCACAGCCTCTGTCAGTGCCCACCAATGACAAAGAAACCAGCCAGTTCCCAGTTGTGATCTAGCTAGGTTAATGCTGATGGACCCGCAGGTCAAATGCAGCCCAAACAATTTGATTAACTGGACCTCAGCCACCCTTAACTGTTGCTACCGTGAGACAGACTACAAGTCCCATGTGCACAGCTTTTCCAGAGCACCACCTGCCACTGAGCACTGCATGCTGGGATTTGTAGTCTGCAAAAAATACACCTCTTTTTGCTGACTAGGGAAGCTGCAATTTACTGCATACTGTATAGCCCTTGGCCTCCTGGAAAGCTGCCCATCTAATCTTCAGCTGGGCAAAGTCAGAATGGTGCTGGGTAAAGGGGAGAGTTTTTTTTTTCCTGAAGCGGGTTTGGCGTTTGTTCAGAAGCAAAAAGCTTCAGTTCTGCTGAGGCTTCAGCGAAAGGCATTTTACTGCCTAGAGAAGAAATTGCTTTCTTCCTCCTGTGATGCTGCCTATTCATGGAGCACAAGCGAGTCCCCTGAGGAGCAGGAAGAGAGTAACTGAGAAACAATCTCTTCACTACCCCCTAGCAACGGGAACAGAAGAAAGCAAAAGAGAAGAGCGGGTTAGCTGCAGAGAGAGACATGAGAGCAAGAGAGGCACAAGGAGCTGCTTGAGAGCGACATTTAGACTCTTAGAAAAGCTAAACAGGTTGCTCTGCCCACACTGTGCTGGCATAAGCCATGTTGTGGAGAGGCAAGAAAACACATGGGTAGCTCTAAAACATGCTAGGCACTGCACATACTTTAACAGGGTAAAACTCACAATGCTACTTTTCCATATGAGTATTATTAGTTCCATCATATACAGGGGAGGAATCTGTGGCACTGCAAAGAAAATAACTTAAAAAGCCCCCAACTTCCACTCCAGGGCTTTGAGCACTAGATCAGTGGCTCTCAACCTTTTTTCGACTAGAGGCACCTCTCCTTAAACTCAAGGTGCCCCTCATGAGACAGGAGGGCACCCCTCAGACAACCCTCTTAGTTTTCACTTGTTATTTGACTACAGAAAAACAATAGAGCAATTCTTCTGTTGCAAAGAACTCAGACAGCACACGACAGGTGGGCATTTTTTTGACGCTGTGGCTTCCTATCTGAAATCTCTGGGTTTATCTTGTGAATCTTGTTTGTGCACCTAACGGTACAAACATTGCATGGCATCCCACAACACCCCTGACAAGACCTTAAGGCAACTTAGGATGCCCTGGCACTCTGGTTGAGAATCACTTCACTAGATAAACCCCAGAGAGGCAATTCACAAAGGTTACTGGGAAGTGTTGAATATGGTGCGAGTCGTTCGTGTAAACTCTCCACTCCTCTCTTTGCTGCAGGTCTTGCACCAGTGCTTTACCTCTCTACTGCATATTGCAAGGAGGCAGTTGTGGCCGAGGAGCTGCGAATGCAAGTAGCTGTGGTGGAGGGACTAAAACCCCTATGGGCAGCTGGGGGCAGGAGTTCTTAAATCAGGTTTCTAACTGGAAGGTAGTTTTTGACCTGAAATGGCATCCGATTCTCATTATCCAGGCAACGGGCTTTTACTCCTCAAAATGTTGCGTCTTCTCTCCAGTCACAGAGCTTCCATAGATATCAGTGGGGGTCAATACTCAGAATACACGTGGAAGATGCAGCATGCTACTGAATACATGGACCAGAAATGATGAATGATAATAAGAGAATTTCCTAAACAGCACATTATGCCTCTCCCGTTACAAAGGAAAGAGTGAAATCTCCCCAAATACCCTATGTGGAGGTATGGTCAAAGAATTGGTCCATAATGGGGCTGGGCCTGCCTGGTGCAAACTACTAAACTCCTTCTGATACTAGCAGATGATTGTGGCCAGAGGATGACATGCTGTTTAGGACGAGAAGCCAAAGTGATATGAGGAGATGCTAGGTGGAAGAGGTCTCTTTCTGAGGCTTGAAGGTAGATACAAAGCTACATAACCTTATGACCTTCACGCTTCTGATTGTGGGAAGTCTCTTTATTAATCAGCTTGTTTGAGAATTGCTCTAAAAAGCCCAATTACACCAAGTAGCTGAATCTCAAGATTTCAGGGGTCTTAGGTACAACTCACCTGACCCAACACAGCAACAAAAGCATATATATTCCTCTATATTTCCTACCAAAACACATGGTAATTGCAGGAAAATCGAGAGGGACATCATTCCTATGCACTCGTGTACAGTAGGTCTACAAGATCTTCATTCATCCACCCTAGCTACTAGTGGCGCTTCCCAATTCGTAGTGATAAGAGTAATGACAAATGGAATAAAATGAAATAATAAATATCGTGGAGCTCCAGCTCCACCAGGGGGCATTCAAGAACAAAGGGAAATAGAGGTTTACACTTCCACATTAGCTGTCTTCATGCCCCAGCACTCTGAGTGCATTTTAACCCCCATCATCAAACACATTTTAAAGCCATCAATCAGCTTTGCAGTTCTATACCTTTCTCCCTCACCCCTCCTCTCCCAAACATCTGTCCCCACCCAGCAATTCATTTCAGACATCCCGTCCAAAGTACCACTGCCTGGCTGGCCTGCAGAAGGAAGAGGGAGCTAAATCCTTTCCTTCACATGGAGACCTAATATTACAAACACCAGAGATGCACCTTTCCCTCTTCCATCCTCCCCCCAGATGCAGTTTTATTCTTTGCCATAAAACTGCCAAACTGCAATAACCCATGTTATTAAGTTTTTCATGCTACAAAACTTATTTAAGACCTTCCTGAAGCTGTGCACTGAGCCTGTAAAAAGTCTCATGAAACCTGCATTTTATGGAATCTGACTAAAGAGAATGGTTTGAAGTACATAATGTTTTTTTTACTGATGTCTGACAGAGCCAATCAACATCTTTACACTTATTAAACACATACACTGCAATTCCATGGTGATCTTTTTAAACAAACTTTAGACTGAAAAAAACTCATGGAGAAAAAATGTTTCATATGCAACCCACTATATCAAGGGCATTGCTCATTATTTGCACTGTCTAAAAGTATTACTTACACTATGAAAACATTTGTTGTGCTTTAAAGATGGAGTAAGGCACAGCTCTGCCTTTACAGACAGCTGACAATC